CCGAAGTCTGGATTACCTGGGACTCGATTCCGCGACCCGTTTGTTAGAGGTCTAAAGCCTCTAATCAGTGAGCCACGGGTTTGTTGTCTTGTCATTTCGGTAGAGGGGCGTAGTGTTAGAGGGGCGCTCACCGATCGTTTTTACGGAATTCCCTAGTTCCGTTGTGCCTTAGGGCTCTCTCTCGAGCCCAACCAGAAGCCACAAAAGTGCTTCTGTCGCTACCAAAACGAAGCAAGTTTTCCTCAAATTTAGGTATTTCGGTTCCCTAAACGACGAGTTGCAACGTGAAAAATGATGAATTAAGAGAGAGGAAGAGAGAGAGAGAGGAAGTAGAACTACCACTTCCAAAAGTTAGCTAGTTGTCTACAAAGGCAGGGCACCTGAGAATAGGGAAATTTTTTGGGCATATGCAAAGGCAAAAAGCCGTAAGCATATCGATTATTGCGATCTTGTAAGCACGTGGGTTTTCCAGTCTGAGGTCTCTGAAACAAATAGACAAATCATAATTTATGCAACCTCAGTCAGCAAATCTAAACTGCTTCACTTCTCCACTAATTACTAATGAAAAAACTGCCCTTTTATATGGGTTCGACTTTCCCTTAGTTGGCGTTTCGGATTTTTTTAGCGATTCGTTGTGTATGAAGCTCCATATCCTGTGTCAATGCTGTGAAAAGCAATAGCGGGTTTTCTTCCACATGACGGTCAACTACCATCACCCATATCCCATGAAACATTTCTTGACTTTCCTAATATAGGGGCAAGATGCGCACCTGTGCGCTTAAAGAACTAGAGTTCCCTATATTTTGCTCTCATGTGTTGTACGCAAGGAAAGAGTTTGTTGAGGCATTTCTGGCACCGCGCCGTCCATCGCGCGCCTGTTCCGCGAACGCTACTTTGTAGTCCCCCAGCGCAGGGAATGGCAGACCAATAAAATTCACCGCCCTTTAGGCTTCAATGTTTCGCACCTAGACATATTCAGGATGCTGGCCGGTGCATGAATAGCGTCTTATCCTGCTGCCTGATCGATACCAATCGCAAACACAGAGACTTTGATTGGATCAGGGAACTGCATGGGTGCCAGTCTTTCTGGTAAGCCAGATTTTGGCTGGTTTCGGGTTAGAGCGTTCACTGGCTGGCCAGCAGGATTCGGACAGATGGGGCGTGTGGGTGGCAATTGGGATCATTCACGTGTGTGTGCTGAACGCTGATTGGTGGCCGGGGGCTTGTCCCCAGGACCTGGAAGTACTTCTTGGCATGACTGAAACGACAGGCGCACAAGTTACTCCTCCAGTCTTTAACTTAGTCGACTCGACCACTTTTTACAACACTCATTTAACTCAACCCCAACAAAATGGTAACTTGGAAATTTATTAAAATATTACCGACTTGAATTTCAGGTTGAATTGTCCAAAGCAGAGATTGAAGGTAAGCAAGTTAAAACACCAAAGTCTCCCCTATTTCACGCCGCTCTATTCCTCGTGTAAGTAGCTACCAAGCAGAAGTTACACGAAAAACCCGGGTTTTTTGTTTCAGATATCAAGGAAGTCTTCGACCTCTTCGATTTCTGGGATGGTCGCGATGGCATGATCGACGCCGTGAAGGTCCCAGATCTTCTTCGATGTGCCGGAATGAATCCAACCATCAAGGTTTGCTTGAAGCACGGCGCAACAAAGAAAACGGGTACCTTTCATTTATTTATTTGCCGGAAATCAAAACAGTTATCTTCAATATTTTAAAGTTCATGCCTCTGCTTATTTATTTCCCTTGTATATGTACTGTGTTACTCTGAACGCTATAGATAAACATTGACGGTTCGACCAGTAAAAGCGTATTAAACAGCATAGCATGTTTAATTTAAACAGTTAGTTGCAACCAACAATCTAGATACTGTTCTTCGTCGTTCACCACGGTTTTTAAACCAATTTTCTCAGAAGAGTACTATAGTGGAACTGCAATTCCCGGAATTTTACATGCCCCTAATGTGGCCGGATTGCCTGGCGATAAATTCCACGGCCGTCCCAATTTCTGCTGAAGCACAAAACGCTTCTAATTTTCGAAAAACAACACGATTTTAAACCACAGTGCTGGTTGTTCTGTGTGCCTGTCCTTCGTCTTGCACACTTTGTAATGTTTCCAGACGAAGGCACCGTTTTGCTTTATTCTGAGGATTCGAGTCCCTTAGGCATAAACTGGCCTTTCTGAGGTAGCCTGCTGCACTTTAGGGAAAGAAAGTATTCAAGAACGAAAACATTAAAGAACCGAAAGAACTGTTCGCTTTCTCTGAGTTACCACAGCACATCAGAGGCATAGTGCCGGAAAACAATCGACATCTGAATACATAAAATTTAGGCGAACGTAGACTGTCTCTGTATGATTTATATGCACTGGTCAATCTTCGCCCATATTATGCTTCCCTTATTTCGATTCCCCAACGATCCAATAAACAGGTGAGAAACAATACAAATTTGACGAGTTCTTGCCAATTTACGACTCGATTATCAAAGAGAAGGAGGGAGGCACCTTCGCTGACTATATGGAAGCCTTCAAGACCTTCGACCGTGAAGGACAGGGCTTTATCTCCGCAGCCGAGCTGCGACACGTCCTCTCTGGCTATGGTGAGCATTAAATTTGTTTTTTAATGACATTTCGTGTAGGTGAGCGTTTGGAGGATAATCAGATCGACGAGATTATCAAGCTTACCAATCTTCATGAAGATCTTGACGGGAATGTGAAATATGAAGGTAGCCTTCTTAAATAACAATAGTTTTCTTTGAACAATTTCGGTTTCATATATTTGATAATAATGACATATTTGGAAACGCACGTTTCCGAAATACATTGCGTTTTATTATGTTAAGGAGGGAGAAATTTAAATTTAATGGGGACATTATCAAGTATTTTATTGCGCGATTTGTCTGAGAGCTGCACTGACCCTTAACAGTTGTTGTGAAAATAAGGCAACACCCAATGAGGTCACCTAAATATACGCAGGCGACTTTCGCAAGCGTCGGCATTAATTCGGTGAAGCCTTCCTTCACCTAATGCCAGGCTGCATCATCAGTTGTGACGCTCTTCTGGATTAAAGAGCGACGGCTTACGACCAACTGGTAAACAATTAAGCATCAAATGCAATCCAAAAATCAGTTTCTTGTCGTCATGCTGACATCGTGAGGTCAATAAGGTCAAAATGCCCCTTCTTTTCAAAAGTAAATGTGAAATGTATCTTGCTGGAACAAAGGTTACAGAAAAAAACTTTGTTTCCGTGTCTCGGCTTTGAGACACTGTAACAAAAGATTAGTCCAAAATAATGTAAGAGTGCGGTTCTGCAGAGTTTGACAGAATTCTCAACAATAACACTGAAAGGACTGATTTGTGATGCCTTTGATCTTTTCTTTTTAGAATTTATCAAGGGCGTCCTCGAAGGCCAGCCGAAATAAACTGCACAATTATCATTGGAACTCGTTCACGTCTAACATGTAATTTTATCGCTTTCACAACCACCACCATTATCTACTCAGTCATTGTGTCTTTGTGCTCTTCGCCCAAGAGTCTTCCTCGACTCTTGTCAGACCAAGGGACCAGTCAGTCTTGGGATATTTCTGTACTATATCTGCACTCTGCTTTTTGGACTTTCGCAATCTCTTCTCACCCATCGTCCCCTCCTGTCCCTTGAAATGGAAAAACCAGCCTCCGCCAAGTCCCTATCCAGCGATTCTATTTGGACGCCGCCGCCAGTTAGTTGCTGCAATGCAGTTGACTTTCGGCCTCCGTGTTACTTAAGAAATGTTTCGAAAATAAGACTTTTGGTATGTGCACGTCCTGCTCAACTCAGCTGCTCGTTCCGCTGTATTGAGTTAAGCTGCGCTTTATGTGACGTCTGCTTAGTTTGAAAAAAAAACTATGAGTAGAGATCAGTTAAATTTCTTTAAAATATTTTTCACGAGGGCGCTGGTAAACGTGTCAATGATACAACCTGGTTAGGAAATCTTGTAGAATGCAATACTTACGAGAGCTGAACAAAAATCCGTAAGACCGGTGGGAGTTGGGATTCTTCTACATATTCAAACACTTTCAACAAATAACCTCTAACAAACCGGTTTAAAATAATGTTGTCAATTTTCGCAAAATAAAAACGATAATTCACCTACACCTGTGTACTTTGACCAGCCCGTGGGTTAATGGTATAACGTTTGCCTTAGTGTACAATAATCAAAAAGTTCGGGCACTATCCGAGTTTGTACAGATCAGGCTTTGAGGTATGGCCGACCGGCGACGATTAATAGACCATTGTTATCCAATCCGGTCTCTCGTGCCATAGGTAGTTTTTTTCTACAGGCATGTTTGTATCAGTAAATACACAAAATGTGACGCAATAGTTTCTTTTAAAGTATAAAAGTACCGTCAAATTTTACCAACTATTTCATCAGGGTAAAGAAGAGTCAGGAGAATTTCAAATTACACAAAATGGAAAACCCGTCTTGTTAATTAGGCAAAAAAGACCTAATACTTATCATTCGAAGTAACATATCTCATTTCCAGTCAACCACCGTCATTATACTTAAAAAAGCAGAAGTAAGCTTAATATGGTTGCTCACAGGGATAAGCCGCCAGAGTGTAAGGTGAATTG